TATGAGGAGAGGGCCGATGATGACCAGCGGCCCAGCTGCTGGAGGGCGGAATAGGGGAGCCCAAGGGACGCGGCGCGCGTGGCGGCGCCTATCCGAAGGAGTGGGCTGTGTAGAGATGGGGAGACAGGTTACAAGCAGCAGTACGGACTTGAGTTGGGCTCTGAAACAGACGGATGACATTGGAAGGTTATCGGGAGCGCGGAGGAGATGCTTTGAGGGAAGGCATCGGGCCAGGGCCCGGCGAACCACTGGACCTGGAAGAGACCCCCAAAACCCACGGACGGGGCTGCGTCCGTGAAGAACCGCAGGGCATCTGAGGACGGGATGACGTCACTGTAAAAAAAAATACACCGTCCCAGCGGCTCAGCAGACGGGACCCGAATGCCAGGTCGGAGCGGCACCCCGCGTCCGGGCAGACAGCGTCGTTGAGGGAGGAGACGGAGCCAGATATAAGCAGTTCCATATACAAGCAGTTCCATATACAAGCAGTTCCATCTACAAGCAGTTCCATCTACAAGCAGTTCCATCTACAAGCAGTTCCATATACAAGCAGTTCCATATACAAGCAGTTCCATATACAAGCAGTTCCATCTACAAGCAGTTCCATATACAAGCAGTTCCATATACAAGCAGTTCCATATATAAGCAGTACCATATACAAGCAGTTCCATATACAAGCAGTTCCATATACAAGCAGCTCCATATATATACGGTTCCAGATATAAGCAGTACCAATATATGCAGTTCCATATACTGCATGAGCAGTTCCAATATGAGCAGTTCCGGTATGAGCAGTTCCAATATGAGCAGTTCCAATATGAGCAGTTCCAATATATTAGCAGTTCCATATATTAGCAGTTCCATATATTAGCAGTTCCATATACAAGCAGTTCCATATACAAGCAGTTCCATATATAAGCAGTACCAATATATGCAGTTCCATATATTGCATGAGCAGTTCCAATATGAGCAGTTCCAATATGAGCAGTTCCAATATGAGCAGTTCCAATATGAGCAGTTCCAATATATTAGCGGTTCCATATATTAGCGGTTCCATATATTAGCGGTTCCATATATTAGCGGTTCCATATATTAGCGGTTCCATATATTAGCGGTTCCATATATTAGCAGTTCCATATATTAGCAGATCCATATATTAGCAGATCCATATATTAGCAGATCCATATATTAGCAGATCCATATATTAGCAGATCCATATATTAGCAGTTCCATACATTAGCAGTTCCATACATTAGCAGTTCCATACATTAGCAGTTCCATACATTAGCAGTTCCATACATTAGCAGTTCCATACATTAGCAGTTCCATATATTAGCAGTTCCATATATTGGCAGTTCCATATATTGGCAGTTCCATATATTGGCAGTTCCATATATTAGCAGATCCATGTATAAGCAGTTCCGTATATAAGCAGATCCATATATAAGCAGGTCCAGATATAAGCAGAACCAATATATGCAGTTCCATGCACTGTATAAGCGGTTCCAGGTATAAGCAGTACCATATAATCAGTTCCAGGTATGAGCAGTCCCAATATGAGCAGTTCCATAAAAGCAGTTCCATAATACATAAGCAGTTCCGTAATACATAAGCAGTTCCGTAATACATAAGCAGTTCCATAATACGTAAGCAGTTCCACAATACGTAAGCAGTTCCATAATACGTAAGCAGTTCCAGATATAAGCAGTTCCGTGAGGGATTAAACTGAGAGCTCGCAGTCCAATTTGAGGGATTAAACGGAGCTTGCAGTCAGAGTGAAGGATTTAAACGGAGCTTGGTTAAAGAGAGCCTGCAGACCAATGCGAGGGCTTTAAACTGATGCTTGCCCACCAATGCACGGGGCCAACTGAGCCTGCAGTACAAGCGCGGGGCCAACTGAGCCTGTAGGACAATGCGAGGGGAATAAACCGTCCGCAGATCTCATACTTACCCGCAACGCCAGAAGACAAGGGACAACACGACGGGACCACACCGTACCGGCACGAGGAGGCAGGGATGCGCACGGCTCCCACCGCACCGGGCCAGACCGGCCGTATGCAGCAGCAGGCCGCGACGAGACGAGCAGCGGCGAACCCGCAGAAAGAGCCCGCAAAGGAGGAGAGCGGCAAAGACCCACGGACCACAGCACGAGACCCGCAGCAGGTGCAGCGACGTGGAGGAGGAGCAGACGACACGCAGCAGGACAGAGGACAGCAGGGACACGCACGAAGTAAGTGAGAGTAGAACAAAGCGATTCCTCCAGAACGACTCTTTGCAAGGCTTCGCTCTTTGCTGCAGGCTTCAAGAGGCCGAGAATGGGAGTTCCTCCGCTTTTAAGCAGCTTGCCTGGCTGGACCGGTGATTGGAAGGGGGCGTTTGCCGTGCGATAGGCTGGGGATGAGAACCGGCCTGGAGGGGTTCCTTTGGCTGACGTCTACCAAATTGAACTTACGCTGGCTGCATTTCAACGGCTACACAATTATTATTAAAGTCATTTCAACGGCTACACAATTATTATTAAAGTCATTTCAACGGCTACACAATTATTATTAAAGTCATTTCAACTGCTACACAATTATTATTAAAGTCATTTCAACTGCTACACAATTATTATTAAAGTCATTTCAACTGCTACACAATTATTATTAAAGTCATTTCAACTGCTACACAATTATTATTAAAGTCATTTCAACGGCTACACAATTATTATTAAAGTCATTTCAACTGCTACACAATTATTATTAAAGTCATTTCAACTGCTACACAATTATTATTAAAGTCATTTCAACTGCTACACAATTATTATTAAAGTCATTTTAACTGCTACACAATTATTATTAAAGTCATTTCAACGGCTACACAATTATTATTAAAGTCATTTCAACTGCTACACAATTATTATTAAAGTCATTTCAACTGCTACACAATTATTATTAAAGTCATTTCAACTGCTACACAATTATTATTAAAGTCATTTCAACTGCTACACAATTATTATTAAAGTCATTTCAACGGCTACACAATTATTATTAAAGTCATTTCAACTGCTACACAATTATTATTAAAGTCATTTCAACTGCTACACAATTATTATTAAAGTCATTTCAACTGCTACACAATTATTATTAAAGTCATTTCAACTGCTACACAATTATTATTAAAGTCATTTCAACGGCTACACAATTATTATTAAAGTCATTTCAACTGCTACACAATTATTATTAAAGTCATTTCAACTGCTACACAATTATTATTAAAGTCATTTCAACTGCTACACAATTATTATTAAAGTCATTTCAACTGCTACACAATTATTATTAAAGTCATTTCAACGGCTACACAATTATTATTAAAGTCATTTCAACTGCTACACAATTATTATTAAAGTCATTTCAACTGCTACACAATTATTATTAAAGTCATTTCAACTGCTACACAATTATTATTAAAGTCATTTCAACGGCTACACAATTATTATTAAAGTCATTTCAACGGCTACACAATTATTATTAAAGTCATTTCAACGGCTACACAATTATTATTAAAGTCATTTCAACGGCTACACAATTATTATTAAAGTCATTTCAACTGCTACACAATTATTATTAAAGTCATTTCAACTGCTACACAATCATTATTAAAGTCATTTCAACGGCTACACAATTATTATTAAAGTCATTTCAACTGCTACACAATTATTATTAAAGTCATTTCAACTGCTACACAATTATTATTAAAGTCATTTCAACTGCTACACAATTATTATTAAAGTCATTTCAACTGCTACACAATTATTATTTAACTCAATTCAATCTGTTTTTCAGTACTTCAGTGACTTAATTATCTTAACAAAGCTGTCAATTTGACTAAATATATCATGTTGGCTTCATTTGATAACATCATTTCAATTCAATTCAACTTTATTACAGGCTTATACAATACAGGTCCATTTATTTGACTTTATTAATTTAACAAAGCATGAAATTTAACAATAATGCATTTATTTCTTAAAATTAAAATGTACTGATGTCTATACTGTATGTACCTGTGTCTCTCTGTGTCTATATGTACCTGTGTCTCTGTGTGTCTATATGTACCTGTGACACACCGGCTTTCATTGCACTCAAACCCCTGCACCACACACTGATTACAACAGGCTCACACCTCATACCTTATTTTTGTTCCTGTTATACTCTTTTTGTTATTATTAAATATACTTGTTGCACTTTTTACCCCCGTTTCGCCTCCCTATTTGTTGTGGCCCTGAGCCGGCCGTAACAAGTTGGGGGCTCGTCCTAAAAACCCGCTTTTCTTTGAGGTAAATATCATTTTGAATTATCCGTGATATTTTTTGTATCTGGTTTTGTTTGAGAGCGCTTTTGTTTAGTCTTGTGTCAGCTCTTGTTTGTTCGTTGATTAAGTGCCATTTTGAATTGAGCTGTACCTGGAGTTTGGTGTGACGGGCTCAGTGGGGGTTTTCCCTGTGTCGTCATTTTGGTTAGTGCGCTTTGTGGGAGACGTGCGGGAGGTATTTTTTGGTCTTCAGGATTTTGTGCTGTTTGAGAGCAGGTCAAAAACTTCATTCTAGTTTGGTCAGCCGTGGCTGTTTGTAAAGACCCAGAAGGTAAGTGTATAAATTGTAATGTGTGCTATAAGTTAAAAGTTCAGGAATCCCTGGTAGGCTTAGCAGTGTTTCCCAACAGGGGGTTCACTGCATTTTTTGGGGGGGGGGGCTTTAGTGTGGAAGCTAAGAGCGGGTCGTAGCTTCCATTTCCCCTTTTCCCTACATCGGCTCGGGAGCGCGCTGTGGCCACTTGATTGCTAACTTGGTCGGCTTGTGTACCATCGGTATCTGGCGCATAAAAACCCATCACCACGCTTCCCGAAGACTAGGGTTTGAGGTAGTAAGCTTTTGGGTAGGTAGGTAGTGGGGTATCCTTGGCTTTATAGGGCACATTGGTAGTTTATCACTTAAGCTTCTGGGGGTCTGTTTTGTGATCATGGATGATGTGGTTGAGGAATTTCTGGAGGAACCATGTGAGAGTGATTTGAAGTTCTGCACTAAAAGGAATTTAATCGCAATTGCAGAATATTACAAGGTTGATATTGGCAATTCCACTGTGTTGAGGAGTGCTCTTGAAGACAATTTGAAGGAACAATTATTTGGAATGGGCATTTTGGTTTCACTTGTGGGTTTAACTTTTGAGCAGCAGAAAGAGCTACTGTTGGTCCAAGTAGAGGCAGAGAGAGAACGTGAGATAATGAGGCAGGAGGTTGAATTGGCTACACTTGACATCGAGTGGCAGAAACTCTATTTGAAGAGACAGGAGATGCAGTGTAGTCCTAGAACTGAACATACAAAGGAGGAACTTTGTGACTTGAAGTTTGTTCCACGTTTCAATGGAGGGGGTCCGGAAACGAAAGCTTTGCAGTTCACAGGCTCTGAGATTCCAGTTGTGGGAATGGCTTTAAAAGTAATGGAGGTTCCATGTGATACAGTTCTGCATTGTGATTTTGTCCAGGGTGAGGAGTCTATGGGAGTGCACCCAGCATTGCCAGTAGATGGCGCCACTGTGATCTTGGGCAATGATATTGCAGGTAGCCGGGTCTGGGCTGATGTGCCTCCTCCAGTCCAGGTGTCTGATTCGCCTATGGTATGTACAGTGCCTTGCAAAAGTATTCGCCCCCTTGAACCTTTCAACATTTCGCCACATTTCAGGCTTCAAACATAAAGATATAAAATTTTAATTTTAACAAGTGGGACACAATCGTGAAGTGGAACGAAATTTATTGGATAATTTAAACTTTTTTAACAAATAAAAAACTGAAAAGTGGGGCGTGCAATATTATTCGGCCCCTTTACTTTCAGTGCAGCAAACTCACTCCAGAAGTTCAGTGAGGATCTTTGAATGATCCAATGTTGTCCTAAATGACTGATGATGATAAATAGAATGCACCTGTGTGTAATCAAGTCTCCGTATAAATGCACCTGCTCTTTGATAGTCTCAGGGTTCTGTTTAAAGCGCAGAGAGAACCATGAAGACAAAGGAACACACCAGGCAGGTCCGAGATACTGTTGTGGAGAAGTTTAAAGCCGGATTTGGATACAAAAAGATTTGAACATCTCAAGGAGCACTGTGCAAGCAATTATATTGAAATGGAAGGAGTATCAGACCACTGCAAATCTACCAAGACCCGGCCGTCCCTCCAAACTTTCATCTCAAACAAGGAGAAGACTGATCAGAGATGCAGACAAGAGGCCCATGATCACTCTGGATGAACTGCAGATAACTACAGCTGAGGTGGGAAAGTCTGTCCATAGGACAACAATCAGTCGTGCACTGCACAAATCTGGCCTTTATGGAAGAGTGGCAAGAAGAAAGCCATTTCTCAAAGATATCCATAAAAAGTCTTGTTTAAAGTTTGCCACAAGCCACCTGGGAGACACACCAAACATGTGGAAGAAGGTGCTCTGGTCAGATGAAACCAAAATCGAACTTTTTGGCCACAATGCAAAACGATATGTTTGGCGTAAAAGCAACACAGCTCATCACCCTGAACACACCATCCCCACTGTCAAACATGGTGGTGGCAGCATCATGCTTTGGGCCTGCTTTTCTTCAGCAGGGACAGGGAAGATGGCTAAAATTGATGGGAAGATGGATGGAGCCAAATACAGGACCATTCTGGAAGAAAACCTGTTGGAGTCTGCAATAGACCTGAGACTGGGACGGAGATTTATCTTCCAACAGGACAATGATCCAAAACATAAAGCCAAATCTACAATGGAATGGTTCACAAATAGACGTATCCAGGTGTTAGAATGGCCAAGTCAAAGTCCAGACCTGAATCCAATCGAGAATCTGTGGAAAGAGCTGAAGACTGCTGTTCACAAACGCTCTCCATCCAACCTCACTGAGCTCGAGCTGTTTTGCAAGGAAGAATGGGCAAGAATTCCAGTCTCTCGATGTGCAAAACTGATAGAGACATACCCCAAGCAACTTGCAGCTGTAATTGCAGCAAAAGGTGGCGCTACAAAGTGTTAGCGCAAGGGGGCCGAATAATATTGCACGCCCCACTTTTCAGTTTTTTATTTGTTAAAAAAGTAAAAATTATCCAATAAATTTTGTTCCACTTCACGATTGTGTCCCACTTGTTGTTGATTATTGACAAAAAATTTAATTTTTATATCTTTATGTTTGAAGCCTGAAATGTGGCGAAATGTTGAAATGTTCAAGGGGGCCGAATACTTTCGCAAGGCACTGTAGTAACCCTGAAATTGAGAGGCAGTTTCCGGAGGCAGTTACTGTTTGTATGGGTACATGTTCAAAACGAGTGGGATCTGAAAGTGAGGAAGATCTTTCTGGCAATGAATTCCCTGTGCCGGTTCTTCCTTGGTCAATGACAACCTGGTGGAAGAGGAAAATTGTGTTTTTGTTCCTAACAATGTTTCAGTGGCAGTTCTTCCATCTTCAGTGACACTCGACGTCCTGGTGGTGGAGCAGAACTCTTTTGCTTTGGAGCGATCAGTGGGAGATCCTGTGCACCCGGTGGTGGGTTCTTTAAAACGTTGTGATGCTGTGTTACAGAGCTGTCATGACCAGAGCAGCCATAGTGGGGTCAGGAACACTTGTGGCCATAGCTGTTTATTTCCGTCTGTCATTCCACTGTCAGGTCTAGAGCTAAATGCCAAAGTCACGATCGGCTCTAAGGTCTTTGTGACGAGTCCTATTCAGAGGGCTGGCTTTGATGCTAAGTCACGACGCTTGTGGCATCCTGGGGAAGGGAAGCTGCTGGAGAGGGGAGGCCAGTGTGTTGTGGTTGTGCTGTTCCTTCTCACTCTGGCAGGGCTTCGTGGTATTTTCCGGTGCCAAGCTCGGATGAGGCAGCTGGAGACTACGGGGACTGGTCTGGAAACTGGTGCCAGGTCCGTTCTGGTGGAAGCGTGGATGCTTCAGCCCACCGTGCAAGCGACACTGGGACGGCACGGTGGAGACCCCAAGTCCCAGGGCCAACTGTATTTTGGAGGTACAGTGCTTGACACCACTTCAAGTTTCTTCCAAACGTTTGAGAGGCCCAGTTGCCCTGTGGCTGGAACATCCTTTGAGCTGCTAAGAGTACGCTTATTAGTTTACTCTGGGGCTTATTAAGGGCCCGGTTGGGTCCCTTTCTTGTAGGGGGGGGGGGGGGGGGACCTTCAAGGGACCTTCTTCAGCTGGGAAGAAGAAGAAGAAGAGGAAGTGCTCACTCTCTCCGGCACTGCTGTCTTGTTTGGTCCTGCCCTGGTGCTCATTCCTTTGTTGCACATTTGAGTTTGTCTTTTGTTTTATGCACCACATTCATTGCACTCAAACCCCTGCACCACACACTGATTACAACATGCTCACACCTCATACCTTGTTTTTGTTCCTGTTATACTCTTTTTGTTATTATTAAATATACTTGTTGCACTTTTTACCCCCGTTTCGCCTCCCTATTTGTTGTGGCCCTGAGCCGGCCGTAACATACTGTATCTTGTTCCTTTCAGAATTGGATTTGTCTAAACGACTCTGAGGTAGTTGGAAATGTGCCAAGATCTCTGCGTTTCTTTCCCGCCAAAGAATAACCATAACTTGGAGCTTTTTTTGGCTCCGGCTCCGAACCATTTGTCATCGTTTAGCGCATCCCATCAGGTCTGCGGATACCAAATCCTCTGGCAGCGTTTGCTCCGTCGCTCGCTCTCTCTCCTGCCGCCACTTTGGAGCCGATCCGTCCATCACTGTCCCCTTTAAGCATTCATGAGGACCGGCGACATCACTCCCTGGCACCGCTCCAGACCAGGACTGCCCACAAACGCTTCAGTGGTGACGACCGTTTAGCCGTTTAGCCGTTTAGCTAGTGCCACAGCCGGGATGGAGAAGGCATGGACTATGACACACGTGCAACAGGTTCTTTGGATCCGTTTTTATTTTCTTTAAAAGGTCAAGGAATTAAAAGATGTGAGATTAAAAGCAGGAGGTCTACAGCCTCAGTCCTGGGTCTACAGCCTCAGTCCTGGATCTGCAGCCTCAGTCCTGGATCTGCAGCCTCAGTCCTGGGTCTACAGCCTCAGCCCTGGATCTACAGCCTCAGTCCTGGATCTACAGCCTCAGTCCTGGATCTACAGCCTCAGTCCTGGGTCTACAGCCTCAGTCCTGGGTCTACAGCCTCAGTCCTGGGTCTACAGCCTCAGTCCTGGGTCTACAGCCTCAGTCCTGGGTCTACAGCCTGACTCCTAGGTCTACAGCCTCAGTCCTGGATCTACAGCCTCAGTCCTGGATCTACAGCCTCAGTCCTGGATCTACAGCCTCAGTCCTGGATCTACAGCCTCAGTCCTGGATCTACAGCCTCAGTCCTGGGTCTACAGCCTCAGTCCTGGATCTACAGCCTCAGTCCTGGGTCTACAGCCTCAGTCCTGGGTCTACAGTCCTCAGTCCTGGGTCTACAGCCTGACTCCTAGGTCTACAGCCTCAGTCCTGGATCTACAGCCTCAGTCCTGGATCTACAGCCTCAGTCCTGGATCTACAGCCTCAGTCCTGGATCTACAGCCTCAGTCCTGGGTCTACAGCCTCAGTCCTGGGTCTACAGCCTCAGTCCTGGATCTATACCCCTCCTGTCTTCCACTTCTGTCTCATAATCTCTTTCTCGACCTCTTTCTCGCTGCAGTTGATCTTTGCTTTTTGACAAGCTCCTGTCTGATATTATATTTGTTTTCACCGTGAAGGGTTGATGCTGCTGACAGAAGGACAGGCAGAGGGAGAGAGAGGGAGGGAGGGGAAGAGGGGGGAGGAGGGGGGAGAAAGGGGGAGGAGGGACCACATCTTGTACAGCGCTGATCTTTGGCCCCGGGGTTGTAGCAGTTGTAGTAATTACCTCCTCAAAGCTGACGGAAAACCAAGGCGGCAATCTGACGGAGAGCGCTTCAGACAAATGGAATCTACTTCTGGATCAGCGGCAGATGTGACGGATATAATTTCATGTGTGCTTTAAAATACATACAACCGACTCTGCAGAACCACAGTATATACCTTTAAAAAATATAAACAAAAAGGTAAAACTTAGCCCAAATTTAGTGCTAATTAGTGAACCCTAACTCTGTAAAATATATATGTAGAATGCAGACTAATAAGTGCTTAATAAATGTGAATTAAGAGCTAATTCAAGCTAAAATACACACTAATTAGCATTTAATTAGTGAGGGCTAATCTAAAGTGTTACCAAAACGAAATAATCCTGATTTCTCCTCATGTAAATAATGTAGAAATGTATTATTTGTTAGTATAGAGTCATTTTTAGTTGCAGAACAACGGCCGTGTATTTTATTTTGAAATCCGTCCTCACATGTGTCTATCAGAAGCCATGCCATATTTATTTTATTTTTGTTGTTGTAGATTTTATTTATTTTGGATCCGATTATGTGTGTATATGGAGTGTGTGAGGGAGGGGGTGGGTTTGGGGTAATTGGTATTTTTTGTTTGTTTTTTCCTCCTTTCTAATTATTATGTTGTTATGAGACAAACAAAAATAGCAAATAAATACAATTATAAAAACATGAAATGCACTGATAAAAAACACAGCCATTGATCCATCAGGAGTGTGACAAATGTCCATAAATGTTGATGAAGTTTATCAATGAAATGTGGAGTGTCCTGGATCATCACTGTCAGTTTGAAAGCTGTTGTAAAAATAAACATATTTGAAGTGTAAAAAAAAAATAAAAATAAAAATAAAAAAGACTAATGTCAATAATTCTGGTGATATGAGCAGGTCAAATAAAACTGGAGATTTGTCTTTATTTTTTCTAAAAGTTGAGAGGACGGTTCTTTCCTAAACCTAACCTATGTCCCTCTACACACCCCAGTATACTCTACATACCTCAGTGCATAGACAGACTGAGGTATTGTCTATTGGATTAAAGCTGATTGAAATACATGCCTTTCAAAACTAGTGAAATTTCGTGGTTGCAGCGCACAGACAGGACAGTAGTCAGAGCACACAGGGAGAACACACAATATACAAAAAAGTAGTGGCTATGTTTCTTAACTATCTGTAAACGCTGTAAATGCTTCGATACCAGTCTTTCAAAATAAAATATATACATGTGGTAGTGCAGAGTTATATACTGTACAGTGCAGGATAAGAAGTAGATAAAGTAGTGACATGATTATTCTGAGAGCAAGGCACTTTAAATTATGACAGTATTTAAGACATTGTTTCATTTTTTAAGTTATGACAAACATGTACAGTAGGTCACTTTAATATTTCTGTCATTCACTCTGTCTCACCATCTTCCATGTCGAGATATTTGTCTCAGTGTCGATGGTTTTGTCTTCCTGAAGCAGGTTGTCCTCTGGTTTCCCGTGGCTCTTATCCAGCCGTTTTTAATCCTCATTTTATCGTGTGCCCAGTGTAGCAGGTCTAACGTGGCCCTGCTGGCTCACAGTCGGCGTGGGCGGACGAGGAGAGGCTAGTTAGACCAGACCAGACCAGACCAGACCAGACCAGACCAGACCACGGGCTGGTGCTTGGTGCAGCGGCAGAACGGAAAAATACTGCAGTTAAAGAATCTGTGGGTTGGTTTTTGGACAGGCCGTTTACGAAATAGTGCGTTGAAAATTAGCAGGAAAACATATAGTGAGCGTATGGAGACTGGACTTGTGAATAAAACCAGATTTAAAGAGCATTGGAATGGTTGAAACTGATTAAAGAGCTGGATTAACACTTTTTTTACCCAAAATAATCTTGCCAACCCTCACATATAAATCACCAGAGATATACTATTGTTTTCTTCCAGTCCTTTTTGTCTATTATTCATATAGTTGCCTGTCACACTGTTGTGGTCACTGAATGTCCGATTATATGATTATATTATCTGTATTTTAGTTTTGCCAGGTTTTGTGATTTTTTTTATTTATTTTCTGTTCCATAAGAGTGATGCTGTATTCAGAGTCTGTTTCCAGATAATTCAGGCTTGTGTTATTTTTATCAGGATGTGTCTGTGAGCAGAGGTTTAGGGTCTAGTCTTTCTGTTTGTGAACTTGTATTGATTTGAGCTTGAAACTTTAATCTCTTAAAAAAAAGTCCCATTATCCACATTATTAAAGAAACTGATTGAGAAAATTGTGGCCCGATAAAACAAAGCAATATGATTTACAGCAATAGCTTGGACTCGTGGTCTGCATCCACTACAGGCACCTCAGTCCTGGATCCACTGCCTCAGTCCTGGATCCACCGCCTCAGTCCTGGATCCACTGCCTCAGTCCTGGGTCTACAGCCTCAGTCCTGGATCCACTGCCTCAGTCCTGGATCCACTGCCTCAGTCCTGGATCCACCGCCTCAGTCCTGGATCCACTGCCTCAGTCCTGGGTCTACAGCCTCAGTCCTGGATCCACTGCCTCAGTCCTGGATCCACTGCCTCAGTCCTGGATCCACTGCCTCAGTCCTGGGTCTACAGCCTCAGTCCTGGATCCACTGCCTCAGTCCTGGATCCACTGCCTCAGTCCTGGGTCTACAGCCTCAGTCCTGGATCTACAGCCTCAGTCCTGGATCTACAGCCTCAGTCCTGGATCTACAGCCTCAGTCCTGGATCTACAGCCTCAGTCCTGAATCTACAGACTCAGTCCTGGATCTACAGCCTCAGTCCTGGATCTACAGTCTCAGTCCTGGATCTACAGCCTCAGTCTTGGGTCTACAGCCTCAGTCTTGGGTCTACAGCCTCAGTCCTGGATCTACAGCCTCAGTCCTGGATCTACAGCCTCAGTCCTGGATCTACAGCCTCAGTCCTGGATCTACAGCCTCAGTCCTGGATCTACAGCCTCAGTCCTGGATCTACAGCCTCAGTCCTGGATCTACAGCCTCAGTTCTGGGATCTACAGCCTCAGTCCTGGATACTGTTTCCCCAGGACAGCACTTGCCGATCTGAACCCAAAGTTTTCTGGAACTTAAATACGGCAGGTCTATATTCAGCGTGGGTATATTTCTACCTTCGCAGAGCGGCTTGTACCAGCAGGATGACGTCTGCTGAATGTCTTATGCAAACAGTTCCGAGTCTCAGGGAAAGCACTCTGACTGTGTTTTGTCCTTGGTTGCCTTTACATAAAAATGGAAACAAAAAAGTCCCTGCAGTGTGAATGTGTTTTTTATCAGCCTAATGGATCATTCTGTCGGAGAAATAGATCAGAGGAAGAAAACATCTAGTAATTTTCCTCAGTCTCAATGGTTTCAGGCTAATTACCCTCTCAAAACGGCTTCTTATTGATGTCCAGATATATTTTTTTATTTCCTGAAAGACCACAACAAAGTAACAGAGTACTGTGAAATGAAAGCGATTTTTTGTATTATTATTATGTATTTAATTTTTTTATTTTTTTCTAAGGTATCACAGTTTTGAAAAATATAGTCAACAATTTCCCCATTAGTCCTTACCAAAAAGAAAAATCCTTGTCCATTATTGATGAGACCGTTTACTTTCATTTGTATTTTTTAAATTGACTTTTAATAACAAGTTTTTTTAACAGTGTTCGTTTCATCTTTTCTACTTTTTTTTTAACACATTTGAAATCTACTGGCTGCAAACTCATCTGGCTGTAAACAATTGTTATTTAACTATACTTAACGGTACTTTTAAGTCATTGACATCATAAATTACAGGCCTGGAGATGGCGGAGTTTCAGATTCATGCTGCTAAAATCTGGAACAGTCTTCCTGAAAACGCAAGACAGGCTTCTTCTCTGACTGTGTTCAAATCCAGGTTAAAAATGTTTACTTTTAGCTGTGAAACATTTATGATTTGAATGCCTTGTACGATGTATAAACTGTGCGATAT